CAACATTTTATATGTTAGGTGTGAACTCTACGCTAAGAACTTTCATACAATCTCAAATTCTAAATCTCCATAGAAACACCTTTATGAGGAAGATAAGGTAAGGATCTTTCCTCAGTCTATATGGATTTAAAAAAAATTTTAATGCCAAATTATTGCAAAATGTCAACTAGCTAGGCAAGGCTTTGAGTCTAGATCTGAGATTTGAAAACCTTACAAAGCCATACAGTGCACAATTATCTCAAGGAAATGTTTCTCACTTGAAATAAGGAAAAGGGAAAGTACCAAAAGAAGGCCAGACAGGCTGTATGGAATGATTAGAGGAAAGCATGGTTTGGGATTGTTAGAACAAGCATGGTTTTGTTGCAATAACCAAGCAGTAGTTAAGTTTAAAAGTCAAGTAATGTAATATCAGCTATAAAAAATTTCCCACCTTTTACAAGAAGAATTTTTGAAACTGCACAGTACTCATACAAACCACATTAATTACTCCAGTAGTTTAACAAAGAAAACAAATGACACGGTTTAATCAGATATGAAATTTTACAAAATAAAAAGTAGAATCAAATACAGAAAGTAACGTGGGCTAACATCAATCAAAAGCCAAGTAATTATTTCTTTTTGAGATTTTCACCAGACACCCAACACTGCAGGATTACTAGTATTATATTATTAATATTTGATAAAATAATAAATACCATGAACTTAAAACCGAATGTACCGGGAGGCAAACCTTTACATACTCTGCTTAGCCTTTACATTAACACTGCATAATTTTAATTTCTTAAAATCCTGGAACTTCCAAATAAGAATAGCAGAAACAAAAATTCACACAAGTGGATCACAATCAAGATTATCAATAGTTCCCATTTAAATAATAGTAGCACAAAAATATGGGTTATATCAATGAAAAGCAGTAGGTAAGTCCATGTAAAAATTAAGTGATTATATATGCTTATATATACACATAGCATTCTCAGCATTAAAAAAAACAAAACAGAAAAGGCTACTGGTATGGTAAGCTTTTGAAAGAAATCAATTCTCCCTAAAGATACAATAATTGGCAATTTGTTGATACTTCTGTGGAGTTTAAGTTTGGAATATTCTCATTTATGCTATGCTTAAAACAATGAAATCATTTTTTATTCATTCAGTTCTGATCTTCATACTCTTAACAGTTTTAGAACAGGTGGGAACAGTGACCTGCTTTTTCAACCATTATATCCCCCAGACATGACTAATTTGAAGCTGAGCAAATTGCACATAATGGGCCAGGGATTCAAGTTCATGATTTTTAGTAGGCTGCACTCTTGTTTCAGGGCACATGGTTCTCCTTCCCCTCCCCAATTCCACCACCCCTGCAGCTGCCTCTCCATGAACTAAATTCACCAAACATGAAATCAAAGGGAAATTATTTTTTACATTTTCTGCAGGCTTATTTTTAAGGAGGATAAAGATTAGGCTACATCTTTAAAAATATTTTCTTTTCCTTTAGGGGTTAAGTTTGTAAATGCATTCTAAATTCTAAAGAAGCTAGCCACTTAATAAACCTTCTCAACACATAAGAAAACAATCAGATCCATCGTTTTATACTAGTTCAAAGTTTTTATAAAAGCATGGCATAATTCAGTGAATTTTTAAATACCCCAAATTCTACCTTATAAGATATTGCTTTCTAGAGCCTTTTTACAAAATACCATTAAAGGTTTGCAGTATATAGACATTGTCACAAGAAAAACTAACAAACAAAACAGAAACTTGGTTCTAAAAAGGCCATTCGGGTAGGGAAGTATGTAAGCTGGCTAAACCAACACCCAATCCCTCCTATTTGCTTTTGATCTAATGTTCAAATTTTCATCATCAATTCTAAAGGCTGCAACCAAATGCCAGTATAAATAGCATATAAAACTCTCCAAGTACTGAAACATTCGTACAATTTTCTAACTAGGGACTTTGAATTCATTGATCTACCAATGAAGAAAATGAAACTTGTTGGTTAACTCATTTGCCTGGTCACTTTGGGGTGCATGGTGTCATGACTGTCTGGTGTGTGTGGGGGGTGTTGGTTGTTTTTGCTTTGTATATATGTGTATGGAGTACTTCTAATCAGGACCTCTGCCTTTCAGAGCCTCCCCTTTCTAGGCTGCCATGTTTCCCTTCATGGGAGACAGCAGTGATCAAAAAAAAAGTAAATTATGTTTGTATCACTTTCTCAACTGACCTCTCCAGATGCATTAAAAAGAAGTGAAGACATCTCCCCTCCCCCCTCCTCTACCATGACACACACACCTGACTTCTACTTATCAGTGGAGTTCTCTTTTCACTGGGTAGAGTGGAGGAAGAGGTTTCTGAACTTCCACTTTACAGCCTACAAACTGCGTCTTCAACTACTGATTCCACTTGCCCACTCTGTTGAAGTTCCAGTCTTTGCTCGGTGTCACCTGCTTTTCATTTTAGGGAAGTCTGCTGGGAAAACACTGCACTTACCTTTTGTTGATATTTACTTCCCATTTTGGGGTCTTGTAGTGTACCCCAGTTCCTAGATTTGTTTAACAGCAAAAACAAGCAAAAATACTGTCTAAATAGTTGAGAAAAGGGCTAAGTCACTATTCAGTGTTTAAAGTGAACTGGTGCTGATCTTTGCAGTCCACCCACCAGAGAAGGGGACACAGCCCTGGCAAAGGACTAAGGAGGGAAGCTAAGCAGTAAACTTCCACAACTCTCCCCAGGAAGTGTCACACATAGATGTTTTTCTTTTCCAAGGAAACTGGAATTGCAACAGTTTATCTATTGAGAGGAATCCAGCTAGAGTTAGGACCTGTCACTAACCTTTGGAGATGGTTATCAAGAGACCCTTGTCACCACTTACTCTGACAAACCCCCTTTGAATATATAACTGTTCTGATCCTTTCTGATCCTACAGCAACTTTAATGTCCAGCAGCCACTCACCAGTGTCCTTGCACCTTTCTCCACAGTACTAAGATTCCAGAGATTATACTAGTTCAGGAAGTGCCCTAAGAAACCCACAACAGTGGATAATGGGTTCTTCAAAGCTAGGAGATCAGCTTCTTAGGAAAAGAAAAAGAAACACACACCAACAAACACCAGGGAACTATGTGTAATGGTTCGCTGCTTGTGCAAAAACCTCAAAGAGGATGAAGGTCAGACAGGGATAATAGGCCAATTTAATTCTGAAAGCACAAGGTGCAAGAAATTTTAATTATGGTCTGCCACTGAAATCACACAAGATCCAATGGCATCTAACTGCAACTGCTCATCAAGGGAGACAAGAGGTGTAATTGTAACCGCTGCATAATCACTGTGAGGGCACAGGGAAGGCTGCCTTCAGCTCCCAGCAGAGAATGTATTAAGAGCCTCGAAAAATCCAATACAGGGAAACATGGAGATTGTACGAGCTAAACAGGAGCTCCTAACAGGAAAGCCAAACCCCGTTGTGTGTGTGCGTGCGCCTGTGTGCATTTGAGAAGTGAGGGTTCCAGGAACAAAAAGATTAAGCTGTTTGGCCCATATTGAGAATATGAGCTTGTAAAACTCTGAACCCCTTTCTGCTTTGTGGATACATACACAGAGAGAAAGGCATGATTTCCTCCAGAAATTTCTGCCTCGGTGAAGCTTCATCCACTCTCCTTTGTTTAAAACAATTAGCCTGGATGTTACAGTGATTTGAAGAACCAGACTCCCTTTAATTCGTTCGCATCAAACCCAAGTGTGGAGTCAAAACGCCACACACAGGGCTCCAGGTGCCCAAGCCTGTGCGACTCTCAGCACCACGCCGACGAGGAGCCCGCGCCGCGCGGACTCTCGCCAGGGGACGGGCGGAGAAAGCCCCTCCGTGGCCTCTCCACTCCGCAAAGTTTCACGGATCCGCGAAGAAAGCAAAACCACCCCATCCGCGCCCGCTGCAAAGTTGGCTCTGAAGTTTCTGCCGGGATGTCCTAAATCTCAAGGGGGAGGGGGACGCGAGTGTACGGCAAGGCTGGAGGATGCATGACGATGGAGAGACAGCCAAGAGGGAGTTTTTCCGAGTGGAAGATCCGTGAGACCATCTTCTTCACCCGGAAGCCTGTTTGGCTCCCAGAGGTCGGGCCGCGCTCGCGGGGGGAGGCGCAGTCCCCGGGGCCGGAGAGCTGTCACCTGCGGGGAGCCGCGGCGGGGGCGGGAGGCGCTCTGCTGGGCGCCCGGGGAGGGCTGGGGGCTTCCGAATCCCCAGCTCCGCGGGCTCCGAGAAGTGGGGGAGGGGAGATTCGCGAGAGGGCAGGAGGCCAAGAGCAACACCTTACGGATACGCTTTTCCTCTCCGACCTCTCCAACTTCCCGCAGCGCCAGCCAGGACTTTCTCCCACCGCACCCCACGGCATCGCGCCTCCTGGCCTGCCTCGCTGACCCGCCCGTGGCCGCGGCTGGGGGTGGAGGGGGTGCTGCGAGGAAGCGGCGGACGCGAAGGTTGGGACCCAAAACGCAAACGCTCACCCCCTAGCTGAGACGACCAAATGGGTTTACACAGGCAACGATCACAGCCCCGTAGCAGGACTCCGGGTTAGCGCCGGGCGCAGTTCCCTGACTCTTCTGTTGTTCCCAATAAAGTCTATTACGTTGCCTCCGGCAGCCGATTGGGAGGGAACGGCGAGGAAAAAGGGGGAACGCGGGAAAAAGCGGGGGGAGCAGCAATCAACTTTGTAACCCAGCGCTTCCTCGCGCGATCCGTCGCCATGCTTAAGATTCCCACCCCCGTCACCCCCCTCCTTCCTTTCAAGTGGATACTGAAACTAGGCCAAAACTTTTTCCCCTCCTTTTCTCTTAGCCACTAGACTGGATTGTGCCCCACGGAGCCCCATGGAGCTCTGCTTTCTTAAGCACAATAGCCGGACTAATTAGATCATAGAAGCAAGGCAGTGATACTGTAACAAGTAGCCCGAGAGGCAAAGAGGGAAGGGGCCCGAAAAGAGAGAAAGGGGGAAAAGTTTGGAGCTCTCGCACTTACCAATCAAGCCTCCCACCAGAAAGGCGATGATTTGGAACACGAGCAGAATCCCACCAACAATGCACAGCTTCTTGGTGCTCATGTTTTCTATAATTGCCCCAGCCATTTTTGCGCCCCCCTTTTTCCTCTCCTCCTTGAAATAAATGTTTTAGGGTGTGCTTTTTGCCTGCTCTCCTCTCACGCTCCCTCCTCCCTTGCCTCCTTTCTGGGCGCTGCAAAACTTCAGGGGTGCGGGAGCGCGGCGAAGATGGGACCGGGACGCAAGGCGCCCGCACGGATTCCCCCGGCGCAGCCGGCTCGGGTTCCCCCAATGCCCGGAGCTGTGATTGTGGCCGCTCCGCCGCCTGTGGACGCTTAAAGGAGCAGGGAAGCGGATCACATGACGCTGCCTCCCTCCCTCCCTTTCTTCCTCCCTCCCTCTCGCGCTTCCTCCCTCCCTCTCCTCCCTCTCTCTTCCTCTCCCCGTTGCCCGCCGGTGCGGGGCTCCGAGCTCGGGAGGGTGCTGGCGTCCCGACCTCGGTTCTGTCTGGCAGCCTGTCCCGCCTGGGGCTGGTGTCGTTTGGGGGTTGATGTTGTTGTTAAGTGGGTTCCCCCTACCCCGCCTCTCACGTTTCCTTTTCTGGTGCGAGATTTAAATCACCCATGGACAGCTTTGCAGACCTTTAACTTACGCGTTGACTTTAGGAAATGGGCCCCACCCGCAATGCTAGAACTCTCTTTAGGAAAGAGAAAAAGAAATTTTTAAAGGGACCCAAAAAATGCTTAAGTCAAAGCACAGAGATGCAGAATAAAGTCTTCGCTTCCTTCGACCTGGTACCACCCTTAGTTACTGGGCTTATACACAACTAAATTTCCCCCACCGCACCCGTGGAGGAATCCTGTGCTGTAGCCAAATCAGACCACCTTTCATTATCCCCAATTCCAGAAGTTTCCAGAGCCTTGACCCTGGCTTTTAAATATATATATTCTACTCCATCGGAGTTTTAAACCTCATTTAAAAACCAGCTCGTTAGAAAAACCCAAGTTTCCAAATCACCTCCGTGTAGTATTTCCGTGAATTAAACCCCTACGACTCCTGTGTTTACATTCTTAGATCCTATTGTGAGGACTTGTGTGTACATGTTTGTCTCCACCACAGAGCTGTAAACTCCAGGCCGATAGGGACCGAGTTTTAGTCATCTTTGTACCCCAATCCCACCCCCCGTGGTGCCTAACAAAATTCTACCTCTTGTAGGTCCTCCATAAACTTTTGTGGAATGAATAAATGAATGTGAAAGCAAGCCCACGGTTTGCATTTCAAAAGCCTGAAAGAGACCTTATGTGATTTAGATAGTACACTTCTTTAGTTGCAATGTTTGTTGTCTCTTTGTGAGGATATATTTATATTTATACTTAACTTCTAGGGGAAAAGGACAGTGAGACTCTTTAAGAGATGTCCTGCTCTATCACGCCTAAATTCCTGGCTCTGGTTTTCACCACCCACTGCCCCTTGCACACCTGGTTTCTTGCCCCTTCCCTCTGTCCACAGCCTCTTCATGCCACGGGACTACCCCAAATCCTCTCTCCTCTACTCTGTTTCTGAACTTGCATTGCCCTTATGGAAGACGCCATGCAGATTACACTTAATGGAAGTATTCATTTCTAGTCTCCGGCTAGACTAGACACTCCTCAAGGACAGGCACCAAACTTTATGTATATGAAAACCCATCTCCTTGGAATCTAACATTTCTTAAGAGTTCTAGGGATATAGCTGCTATTTATTCATTCTTTCCTTCAACATTTTAACCAGCAGGGCTCACACATTGAGCTCTTAACCTGTTCCAGGCTTTCTGTTCTAAGCCCTTGAGGGTACCAATATATGAAGACACTTGTCCCTGTCCTGGGGGAGGCCAAGTCAAGCTGTTATTCACTGAATAGTGATTAACGACCTTTACTCTGGAGAATACCAGATTAGATGGGAAGAAACACACAGGATTGTTGTCAACAGTAGTGGTCAGAGTGTTTGGTACCCAAACACAGAGAGACCAGTGTGCGTTATTTTCTTTCCTTTTTTACCTTTTCAGAAGCTTGCATCACCTCCCTCCTCCCCCCCCCCGCCCCCACTGTAGTAGGTCCCAGGGCATCATAAAAAGAAGTAGGAATGCCCTTCTTACCTCTGCTGCTAGTTAACTCCACATTCTGTTTTCTCATCTCAGCAAGCTACCAACTTCCACATATTTGAATAATAATGATGCCTTTGGGTTAGAATTTCTTTTTAATACCAAGGAATTTTTTTTTAATTAAGGTTGATAGGATTCAATATAAAGATTTACTCTCCATTTGATATTAAGTTTCACTATTTAGAAAGAAATGGTATTCTATGCACTTCAAATATGAAGGGAGCCACGAGAATGTAGAACTGGTTTATGGTCGTCCCTCCTTATCCAGGGTTTAGTTTTCTGTGGTTTCAGTTACCTGCAGTCAACTGCAGTCTGATGGTCTGAAAACAGATGATCCTTCTGACCTATTTTCAGAAGGTCAATAAGTAGCCTAATGCTACAACACAATGCCTTTGTCATTCACCTCACTTCATGCACGTCATCACGTAGGCATTTTATCATCCCACGTCATCACAAGAAGAAGGCTGAATATCGTACAATAAGATATTTTGAGAGACTACATTCACATAGCTTTAATTATAGTATATTGTTATAATTGTCCTATTCTATTACTAGTTATTGTTGTTAATCTCTTACTGTACCCAACTTTATCATAGGTATATATATACAGGAAAAGACATAGTATATATAGGGTTTGGTTGTATCTGAGATTTCAGGCATCCACTGGAGGTCTTAGAATATACATCCCACAGATAAGAGAGAGTGCTCTATTTGTTTAACATTAGCAAGCTCTTAAGTCATTTTTCTCCTTTTAAAAAAAATAATGTTTATTTTTGAGAGAGAGAGAGTGAGCATGAGTGGGGTAGGGCAGAGAGAGGGAGACACAGAATCTGAAGCAGGCTCCTCAAGTCATTTTTTTTTTTAAATGTTTTATTTATTTCTAGGAGAGAGAGAGACAGCGTGAGCAGGGGAGGGTCAGAGAGAGAGGGAGTCACAGACTCTGAAACAGGCTCCAGGCTCTGAGCTGGCAGTCAGCACAGAGCCCGACGCGGGGCTCGAACCCACCAACCGGGAGATCATGACCTAAGCGAAAGTCGGTCGCTTAACCGACTAAGCCACCCAGGCGCCCCTCCTCAAGTCATTTTTATATTAACTGCTACAGCACATTCTACTCCCTCGGTTCCCAAATGCATCTCTTCAGAGTAACTGGCCTCACTTCTTTGGTTCCAGTTTCCTCATTGGAAAATGAGATTCTTGGAATAAAATACTGTTTCCCCACCAGGGTGGTCCCCTATTTTTAAAGGGCACTTATTAGACAACCATTTTACTTAAAAAGAAATATTTCTGGGGTGCCTGGGTGGCTCAGTGGGTTGATTGTCTGACTTCGGCTCAGGTCATGATCTCATGGCTTGTGAGTTTGAGTCCCACACGGGGCTCTGTGCTGACAGCTCAGAGCCTGGAGCCTGCTTTGGTTTCTGTGTCTTTCTCTCTCTCTCTCTGCCCCTCCCCTGCTCATGCTGTGTGTGTCTCTCTCTCTCAAAAATAGATAAATGTTAAAAAAATTTTTAAAGAAATATTTCTAATTGCTAATCAATGCTTCTGATTCTCGTGAGAAGACCAATATTGCCAAACTGAATGTGGAACATTTTCAGTATTTATCACTATGAGCTGCTTCAAGAAAAATTTAAAATTTCTATGTTATCTTTTTGAAAATGAAAAGTGGCTGTCAGATCCTTATTTCCCAAGGGAATAACACAGACAAGTAGAAAAGAGCATGAGTGTTTGAGTTGTCTGGGTTTGAAATGGAGCCCCCAGCTCTGCCCCTGGCTTGTTATGTGTGACTGTGGGCCACTATTGTTACCTAGCCCTCTGAAGGTTAACCTTCTCATCTCTAAAATGCAGATAGTGACAACTCTCATGCTATTCTTGCAAGACATGATGATGATGATTATACTGAAGAACCCTTAAGGGAAATCGATAAGCTTGCATTAAAAACTAGTAAAAATGATCATTAATTGGTTTTTCCTCGGCTCTAAAATGTTATCATGTTACCATTATTTTTAGAAGCATATTTTAGGAGCAGTCTGAGAGATTAACTCTGCTTGAGAAAGGCTTTAGTAAGGCCAACATCTAGTATGGAGCTCTGAACAGCACTCGGTCAACTTGAAACATAGAAACATTCTATTCTAAAAAATGCTTTCAGTCACCAATAAAGCACTTGTTGTGGGTCCTGAGATAGACTGCCCCAGACACTGGGTAATTCAAGAGTGCAATCCAACTTTTTCAAACAGCACTGGATCATTCTAACTCTATTTCACTAGATTTTAAGTTGGAGATCCTGATTTATCCATCGTTTTATTTGAAGGTTTGTCTTATGGAAGAATACATTGATATTCAATGCATATTTATTGAATGGATGAATGAATGAATGAACACATGAATAAATGAGTAAGTGAAGATATATTAACTGCAACCAGCCCTGGCCATCCCCACCCCCCAATTCCTTTATAGCATATACTGACTAAATTCTTATCTGGCATATATATCCTGGGCTGTAGTTTGCACATATACCTATATATGTGCCGTACTGCCACTCTGGTCTGCAAGCTGCTTAAAAACTAGGTAAGTGTGATCTGAGCCTTTGTCTCTTACAGCCCCAGCACTACACCTTGCACAGAGGAGGGCTCAGTTCCTGGTGCTGAGAAAGTCCACTTTGGAAGCCAAGGACAGCATTCCATTATTGTCATTGAAATAAATGTAACGCAGAGATCTAAAAGAATTGCATATACCTACTCAAACACCTAATTTACTTCCCAGAGGGACCTAACAAGAGTAATAATCCCACTCAGAGCCTTCTCATTCTCATAAACAGCTTTTACCTATAAACCGCATCCCCAGGGCTCTTCTGTTGTTGGTATTTTCTTGTAGTTAGTGCCTGTGAATGTGAGCAGGCACTTTGGGTTCTTACTTTATTATTCAGTGTCACTTTTCACTCAGTATACATACATGAATATATATATATATTCACAGCTTCTTTTAAAATCCTTTTCTTTCCCCAACCCCAACCATCCTTCCCTTCTTTCTCTATGAGCCCCATTGCCTTGTTTTGTATGTAAATACAAGAGCTTTTCTAGCGCCTCCTTTCACATACTAACCTTGGCTAGGAACTGTTCAGACCCCAGAGCTTGGAAGACCAGTGCATTAAGGTGATCTTTTTAGATGAAATTGTTTAACAAATGCCCACCAC